ATAATTCAGACGCCCTCTACAGGAAAGGGCAGAGCAGGCTGTACCTGCTGCGGAGACTCAGATCTTTTGGAGTGGAGGGCCCACTCCTGAAGACCTTCTATGACTCTGTTGTGGCCTCAGCCATCTTTTATGGTGTGGTCTGCTGGGGCGGCAGCATCTCTGCTGGGAACAGGAAGAGACTGAACAGGGTGATCCGCAGGGCCAGCTCTGTTCTAGGATGCCCTCTGGACCCAGTGGAGGTGATGAGTGACAGGAGAATGGCGGCTAAGTTGTCATCCCTGTTGGACAACATCTCCCACCCCATGCAGCAGACTCTGACAGCACTGAGCAGCTTCTTTAGTGGCAGGCTGCGGCACCCACGGTGTGGGACGGAGAGATTTCGCAGGTCTTTCCTCCCTACTGCTGTCAGACTCTACAACAAAAACTTCAACTGATCAAACACACACAAACCCACACATGTGCAATAAAACTAAGTGCAATATTCTTTTCTGACAAAGTTGTATTTTTACTCAGTTGTATATAGAATTTGTATTCTATTTTTATCCTATTGTATATTTTATTCTATTTTATTCTACTGTATATAGTATTTTATTTTATTCTATTCTGTACAGTTGTGTACTGTATTTATTCTTATTATATTCTAATTTTTGCTATATAACTTTTGCACTGTCCACTTCTTGCTGTGACAAAACAAATTTCCCACGTGTGGGACTAATAAAGGTTATCTTATCTATGTTATCTATCTTATCTTGTCTTATCTTATGTAGTGATGTAATGTAAAAAAAATAAATAAAAAGGAAATTGCTTTAAAAAAAAAACATTTCTTTGAAACGCTGCCTACAGATAAAGATGGAATACTAAAACAGATCATACATAAAACCGACATACTGTAGTCATGTTTATCATGTCAAATTGTAATCAGTGAAATAAAACCCCTGGAGTCAAAGGGAGTGGAAAATATTGAAATAAGTCACCCTATTGTCAATCATTTGATGCAAACAATAAATCTCTAAGAACACTGCAAGTATTTCTTGCAGCACAAATTGCACAAATTTAACTTCCAAGAGAAATGTGCCCGGCAAAGCTTCTGCTTTCCGAAAGAAAGCCAGAGGAAAACTAATGTGTTCGAGTGAACATAAAAGCAAACACTATGCCTTCAAGAAACATTTATTCTGGACATCTGAATCCTTTTATTGCTTGCTTATAATAGCAGTAGACATGGTTGACTAAAGACTGCTTCCCAGGAGAACTCACAGCAAGTGTGAAATATGGTGGCTGAAGTTTTCAGACTTTAGTCTTTGGTTGAGGTTACTCTCAGCCTAAACCTCTCAGCTACATGGAAGCTTCCAGAGTGCTTGGCATATGCTTGTTGTAAGCATATGTTTGTTAAGGTTATTACAAGAGACTGGACAATTTTCTGCATTGTGTTTGAGAATAAAATAACGCTGTCTTTATAGCTAGAGTTGTACCTTTCAGCAGGATGGTGATCCTAAGCACATGGCTGAAATTTACATACTGATGCCAGCATGCTAGAATGGTGTACTATGAAGTAAAGGTGAAATGAAACAACAACAAAGGTGAAGCCAAAAAATAACCACTGGTGATAATAGGTATCACAACAGTGATTATCAACTGTCTTTCTGCCTAGACTTTCTGCTTGAGGCAAAAATGATGAATTTTCTGCTTCATTTGACTTGTTTTTTGGTCAAAATGGATCAATTGAGTGCCACCTGCTACTGCCAGAGACAATATGAGACACAGGTGTTAGAGACACATAAAGAATATAAAAAAATATAACAAAAGGCAACCATTGTTGCTGCAAATATGGAATGGGAGAACTGCATCACAAAATCATCAGTCTTGTGAATTCATACGTTAATATATTGATTTATCCGCTCAGTAAGCTCTTAGCTCTGCCATTCATTTCTAAAAAGAGCAGATATGACACAAAAACGAATTCAATTAAATTATTAATTTTCCAGATTATTTGGGGACAAAACTGAATTACCTCGTAATCTACATCTCCAGAACAAATATTTTGCACAGTCTTTACGAGGTTTTGATAATGCTTTAAAAACTCAAATATGCTTGAGCAGCCTTTACCCCTGGGACTATTACTGGATGTCGTGTATGGGAAATTAAACGTTTCCTCAACATTTTGGTGAAAAAGAATTTATAATAATAATTTATGTAATTAATATTAATTATTATAAGAGATTGAGTGATTGATTGGTTGATCATTTATTTGGATCATATGTATACAAGTATACAATATATATATATATATATATATATATATATATATATATATATATATATATATATATATATATATATATATATATGTACATATATACATATATATAAAATAGACTGGGGCACACTACTGGGGGCCCACTACTGACCCTTAGGGGACTCCACAAGCAATTTCCATGTACCCAAATCTAAATTCTCTGTGTGACATATATTGTCACACATAGTGACAATATGTGTGAATAGAAGAGTGAAGATACAGGAAAGAGTAATAAAGAGACTTTAATTTGTATTACTAAAACCTTGGAAGAATTTTCCTGGAGAGACTCTATATATCAGGTATCATAGTTTTCAGCGTTCTCTGTTAAGCCAGGCTTTCTGTGTGTATCTCTGTGTGTGTATTCAGATGAAGGGGGGGATTCATGCCTCATATGACTCATCTTGTGCACAATGTGATGCTTTTGAGCGCCGCCTACTCCACTAGAGACATTATCACATCACAATGGTAAAATGGCGATAAAAGTCTATAAAGACCATTTGCAACACTGTTGCAAATAAGACAGGAAATAATACTGTCGAAAAATTATTAATTTGGGGATTTAGCGCACAGAGAGGCAAAATAAACATTTTAATTTGAGTTATTTTATTGCTGAGTGCATTCTCAGTGCTGCTGTTTATTTCTGCCACAATGGATGCACATTAGAGCTCTGAAAGTTTAAACTGCACGCATTTAAACATTAAATGTTACCGTCTCATAGCCTAACAGAGACATGGAAATCACTTTAGTTTGTCAGCAGATCATAGTGAAATTATACTGAACGAATAAGAATTCTTGGGGTGTGTTTGCAATTGCGGCACTTTAATTAAAACAAACTTAGCAGCAGATTAGAATCAAATATAAAAACAACCAACATTTTCCACATTACCAAATTAACACATGCATGTTTCAGTGACAATGAAATGCACAGTTTGCACTGCTGTAATTTTACAATTGTGGTTCACTGGCGAAGTACAACTTACAACTTACAAGTTGGACATAAAAAGCTCTGCTAAATATCACAATAAGTGCATGAGAAAGAATCTAATTTTAAAGCGGACAGGGGCTTTCATTTCATTAATAGCAAATTGTCATGTTTCTGCTTCAGAGCCATCTTTTCAGCAAAACACAGAGATTCTACTTTGCTTTTCACTTGACTGAGCTCTGCAATTTGATTTGAAGTTAAAACAAATAACACAATGTGCAAGTACAACATTAAAAGAAAAGTTGTATGTGGTTAGGTCAGGACTTATTTCAGTTATGTCATGGTTCTTGTATTTATTGCTTCTATTGGAAATTAATAAAAACCCATTATTAACAACCTTTTGCGAGGAACCTAGGAGTGATTTTTGACTCTAATCTAACGTTTGACAAACAGATTAATGCTGTAATCAAGACCAGTTTCCTTAACCTTTGGCTACTTGCTAAAGTGAAGCCATTTCTCTATTTTAGAGACTTTGAAAGAGCTATCCATGGCTTCATTTCATCTCGCCTCGACTACTGTAATAGTCTTCACTCTGAAGTTAGTCTGTCATCAATTAGCCATCTGCATCATGATTACTAACTGGCACATGCAAGCGAGGCCACATATCCCCCATACTGGCATCATTACACTGGCTGCCAGTTAGTTTTAGAATTAATTTTAAGATTTTATTATTTATTTTTAAGGCGTTGCACGGGTTAGCACCCTCATACCTTTCTGATCTTTTAAATTGGTACACTCCAATGTAGCTTGCCATCACCAATGTGTGAATGTGTGCGTGAATGGGTGAATGACTGAATGTAGTGTAAAGCACTTTGGGGTCCTTAGGGACTAAGTAAAGTGTTATACAAATAAAGGCCAATTACTCCTGCAAGATCACTGAGGTCTGCGGATCAATTGCTCCTGCCTGTCCCGAGGTCCAGATTTAAGCACAGAGGAGATCGGGCCTTTGCTGCTCCTAAATTGCGGAACAAACTTCCCCTTCACATCAGGACCTCACCAACATTGGACACTTTTAAAACCTGTCTGAAAACCCACTTTTACTCCATGGCTTTTAAATCAGAATGAGTTTGTATTACTTTTATTTATCTTACTTCTTACTCAAATCTTCTAATTTTATGATTCTTTTTCTTAACTTTTATCATGTCTGTGTATGTTTTTATTTCTTTTGATTATCTTAATTGTACAGCACCTTGATCAACATTTTCTGTTTTAAATGTGCTATATAAATAAATTTGACTTTGACTTTGAACAATTGACTATACTGGATATCTCTGTATCTACTCACATGGCTGCTGTAATTGCGTGAATGTTAATACATTTGTTGTGCAATACCTTTGAGGTTATAAACAAAAACAGAATCAATACCAACTTGTAAATATAAACATAAGCAGAATGAGTATCAACAAGTAGCCACTTTCGGCAGGAATTGTTCTCCACACCTCCCACAAACTGCACTACATGAAATTTCCCCTGTGTCCTGTGGTGTGCCAATATCCACGCTGCCAGGGATCTAGAAAGCAGCTGACTAAGAACCAAAACAATGGTATGTGACATCCCAGTGCTTTCGTGGGCTGGCCATTTGTGTTTTCTTTGTGGTTTTGCTTTGTCATCAACAGTATTGCTTTTCTACTTTCTGCCACAAAGGCAACAATAATCTCTGGAAGCCCCCAGGATCAAAGCATGCATGGCAACAGCCAGAGGGTGGTTTGGGGGGCTATTTCGCCATCAGCCACTACTGTGCAGCGCTCAGTCTAGCATGAGACAGCCAAGGGTGAGCAACCAAGTTTTCACACATTAAAGGTGCTAAGGTGGACCAAGCACTCCGGGAATACCACCAGCCCACAGGAGAGAAGCGTGCCATCATGTTTAAGACAAGCTACCGGCATGAGGTGCACAAGGAAAAGTATGAGCGCTCGGATATCTTTGAGGATGATGCTGAAGAATCTGCAGGTATCTCAGCCATCCAGGGCTGGGAGAGCCTCCAGGAGCTCAACAGCCGTTTTGCCCGGTACATCAACAGGGCAAGAGTCTTAGAGCAGCGCAATGCCGTGTTCCGCAAGCAGCTGGAGACACTGCAGCGAATGGAAGAGGCCAGCGGCTTGGAGGAAGCCTTCACAGAGCAGATTGAAGTCAACAGGCAGCGCATTCGAGAGCTGTTCTCCGACCATGCCAAGCTGCAGCGGGAGCTGAAGGATGCTTGCCGCATGCTGGATGAATATACCAACAAGTAAGAGAGTGGGTAGTGGCTGGTGTTTTATGTGCGTAAGGAGTCAAACTTCTTCCTCAAATATGGAGTAATGAGAAAAATGTCGTTACTATAGAAATGTCATTAAAATGCTAATGAACCCAATACTAAGATGATGATGACAATTGTTGCAAGAAGCGTGGCATTTTTAAAAAAAGCCTTCAAATGATCCTATTCTATAAGCAAGAATTGGAATACGGCAGTCAGGAAAATTTGTTATAAATGGTTTAAATCATATGTGCTATACTGTGTCACTAGTAATTATAAAACACAATGTTAGACATTAAATTGTGATAATGCCGCGAACTGTATAAAGGAATCAGATTATATACTTTTATATACTTTTTTTCTTTTACCCATAACAAAAAAGCAACACAAGCAAATATCCATCCACCCATTTTCTAATGCTTATCCACTCCAGGGTCATAAGGAAAAGTCTCAAATGTTTGTGAAGTAAAGCCCGAAGTATATCCATGGCTCCAGTATACTATTAGGAAAACAAGGGGGAGGGAGAGAGCGAGATATTTCTTTTGTAAATAAGGTGAATCAGTTGATTAATTAGAACTGTCTAGAAAGGCCTTGTAATCATTTATCTGCAGGCAGTCTTGCTGCATTATTGATCAGTTAAGAATAACATTAACCAGCTTTGGTTGAATTAGCAGATAAAGGCAGGTGGATTTCAGCATGTATAATCGGGATTTTTTTACTATGACACATTACAAATACAACAGAGTTTGTTCAGCTATCCCTTCTCACTGTGAGCTTACCATGTCAGCAGGGCATTATATATAAATAATGTGGTGGTATATAGTGTAATCACTGCACTCTGGCTTTATATGAACACATAAATGAGTTCTTTTGTCATTCAGATACAGAAATGAATGTGATTATCAGGAGCAGCTTCGAGGCACACTGGAACAGTTAAACAAGGTAATATCTATAGTTAAAGCTATGTTTGTTTAAGCACCCCTACAAAAAGACATTTATGACTGCGTTTCAGTAAATGTGCACTGTTACTCTCTAACATTTAAGTGTGGAGCATGTGTAAGTAAAAATATAAAAACCTTCGCTGATGATATTTTGGAAAAATGAAAGTTTGCCTTTTTTCCAATGCATTCTTCTGTATTTTAAAAATTGACGAAAAGCAGAACCACAATGAAAAGATATTTCATCTGAAAAAAAAAAAATCAGTATAAAGGATCAGATATAATTCATTTAGATTGAAAATACCAGAGCGCTACCACTATGACACTTTGTGGGACAGTAGAGAATTTTCTTCATTGTTATTTGAATGCAGTCTGCCACTGATGTTTTTGTTAAAGAAAAAAAAAATAACATTGTGGCACTCAATTATTTTTTCCTCTCTTGGGTCTCTTTACCTGCAGGAGGCTGACAGCGCTCTGCTGAGAAACCTGGAGTACCAGATCCAGTCTCAGTTTCTGCAGGATGACATCAGTTCCACCAGAGACAGACACAAGAAGGTCAGTACTCTAATGGGAAATGATCAAAGTTAACCTAAACCAAAAAAAGGAAATTACTTATTGAGCTTTGCTAACTACTAATCCTCTTAAGAGCTTATTTAATCATACATGAAGTATTCTCAGCAAGAAGGCAGTAAGAGCTCACTGAGATCTGACTTCTATCCTGGCAGTGAATAGTATTAACAGCCATCATAGCGACATAGCAACGAAGCATGTTTGCCTAAGTCACCGAGATTACTATATTCTATTTCATATTTATCTCCTTTTTTATATACATGGCAATATCTTTTCTTGATTGAATACTATGATTGCTACTTGAAAGATTTACAGCGCACCAGATTCTCCTGAGGCTAAATGTAGTCTGCAAAAGCACTACTTTATTAAACATTACTAGAATAACATGGACTTTTTTCTGCATATTTACACGAGATTATCATTGCCTAACTCGTGTTTAGGGTTCATAATTAGCAATGCCAATACTTTAGTTGCTATCAGCAGATATTATACTGCTGAAAAAAAGAAAACGTAGAAAAAAGGCAAAGTCATTGTTGTGCTTTGTGCATTAAGTTTCCTTCAAAACTAATTTGCAGTAACAAATTATGCAAATTTAAAGGGAAAATAAGCAAATGCTGTAATGACGTGGATTAGAGGTTTCTCTAAAAATGCTCTGCTTGTTTATGCCATGTGTCTTTAAAACATCGATTAAAATGGTTAAAACTCTATAAAACACAATTTTTTTTATCAACTACAAACAAAGAGCGCTCATATAATAACCCCCTTTCAGTGTTTAATTACGCTCTGGCATCTTGAAATTGTTTTTTGACAACATAAATAAACTCAAGAGAGTTTTTTTGGTCTCGATTTATTGCCTATTCCCCACTCAGTCCTGTTCCTTTTGACCAGGCAGCCCACCTCAGGCTGCAACTCTTTGTTGTGACTCAAATCCTTGAAATTATTGCCAGTGGATATATTATGATGTTCCTGGGGATTTGTGAATTTACTGTCGGTGATGTGAGCGCGGAAAGTATTGCTCAGAAAATGCTCATCATATGACTGCAAAGCACATAGAAAAAATAAAAATAGACCCTCTTTTGTGATGTAGCAATAGCTAGAAGGTCCAAAACAATGGGTGCAAAAACACTGAAACAAAACAAAACAGCATACTTTGCACAGAATTTCATGCCTAAGCATTTTCTCTCCTTTTTACTTTCACCCAGCGGCGTGTTTGGTAATGAATTAATACATGACTCTGCAATACTGAGATCATGAGCAGATCAATGGGCACTACTGTCAGTGTATTATGTCAGAAATAATAGAGTCCTCTCACATGAATATTGGGCTTGTGGTCTCGAGCTTTGAAGTATCCTTGTGGAAAGACTCTGAGCTCAGCCTATTACAAAAGGATTTGGACAGAAAGTCTCGGCCATGCTCGAAGTAAATGTTGTGCCATTTATAAATACATTTCAGCTAAATGAAAGCCTTTTATCAAATATTTCATTTTCAGCTGATTTTCAATAGATTGTGATAAAGAAAAGAGAAAGGTTTGTTAGCTGAAGATTTTAGTCTACAAAGTGGAAGAGTTACAGATTTATTATTTTTATTTTCATTCTACTTTTGCAGAGTTTTCTTACTAAAACTTTCCTTTTATATTGTCTTTCTCTCCATAGAACCTCGCAGAGATCCAAACCTATGTAAACATTTTAAAGCAAATCAACCAGACGCTCCCCCTTGTTCCCAATGTGTCAGTTGGCATCTCCGAGGTGAGGTCACTAATGCAGTCATTGTGTGTGTGTGTGTGTGTGAGTGTGCATGGCCCTCCCTGGGGGAGAAGATGGTGTTTGCATGTGTGCCAGCCCCGGTTACATGTCTGGGGTTGATGAGGTTACTGGCTTCTCTGTCCAATTGGTTGCCTGTGACTGCATCTGTTTTTGTATACGTGTGTGAGTGCATGTGCAGAAAGCACAGGAGAGAGACAGTCACAGTGCCATCCAGACACATTGACAGGCCTGCAGTATGAGAGTGTCAGGGCACATAATGAAGCAAATGCTGTGAAGAACGGCTGTGCATGCTAATTTTCTAGTAGCGGCGCCACAGTGACAAGCGTTTGTGTGGCAAATTGGAGATTTATTTATATAAACATTTCTCAGAGGCATGTTGACTCTAAATGCAGAAATTGTTTAATTGGTTGGATTAAGTCTCTGCGGGTACTAACAAAGAGCCACAACTCTTGGCTCTGCTGTGCTGAGCTGACATCCAGTGGAAAATAAAGTGTAAGCAAGTGGGCATGACTTGTGCATGTGTGGCAGTTCCAGATGTTTCCACAAAAGACAAAGGAGGACACTGATTGCTGATGAAAATGGAAACTGTGTGGCCTTTGGAATTGACAGACCACTTTGAATTGCTAGATATAATTTTGTTGCACATGTACAATGACAATAAAGGGGTGTTTTATTTTATTCTACACTCTAGTCTAGTCTATTATATTTAACTGGGTTGAAATGGGGGTATTCTTTCTTCTGAAAAAGATAAATGAGGTATTCTTTGGGGTATAGTCACCCTACAGGGAGGTTTCAAGAACATCAAATACATATATACTGCAGATTACTGAAACTATCAGTTTGCCCAGTAAGACTTTAATATGTCACATTGTATTTATGTTGTCTTTCATGTCATCTTGAGCTCTAGAACTCAAAGCATGTCTTTTCAGAGAAATATTTGCATGGCCATTTTTTGAGAAAATTGTGAGACAGCACTTCTCCTCAACAAAACTTTAAATCAAATCAAATCAAATCACTTTTATTGTCACATCACATGTGCAGGCACACTGGCACAGCACATGCGAGTGAAATTCTTGTGTGCGAGCCCCACAAGCAACAGAGATGTGCAAACACAACAACACAAACGAGCAAAATACAAGAATGGCCAACCTGAAACTAATAAATATATGTACAATATATAATAGTGTATGCATTTCTGGATGTGTATACTAAATATTTTCCTGTGTGTGTGTGTGTGTGTGTGTGTGTGTGTGTATACACATTTTTACAAATTAAATAGTAAAAAATAATAATAACAATAATAATAATAATAATAATAATAATAATAAAAAAATATATAAAATATACAGAGTTGAATATGTGCAAAACAAGTGGCATTTATATACAGTGTGGAGTGCATAATGTTGAAGTTCCAGTAGTGAAGCTGAGGTGTCTATGAAATGTTCAGCAGTCTGATGGCCTGATGGAAAAAGCTGTCTCTCAGTCTGCTGGTACGGGACCGGATGCTGCAGAACCTCCTTCCTGATGGAAGTAGTAGTTTATGGCTGGGGTGACTGGAGTCCTTGATGATCCTCCCCGCTTTCCTCAGGCAGCGCTTCCTGTAGATGTCTTGGAGGGAGGGAAGCTCACCTCCAATTATCCGTTCAGAGCACCGCACTACTCGCTGGAGAGCTTTGCAGTTGTAGGCGGTGCTGTTGCCATACCAGGTGGTGATGCATCCAGTGAGGATGCTCTCAATGGCGCAGTGATAGAAGGTCCTGAGGATGCGGGGGCTCATGCCGAATCTTTTCAGTCTCCTGAGAAAGAAGAGGCGCTGCTGCGCCTTCTTCACTGTTTTGTTTGTGTGTACTGACCACGTAAGATCCTCAACCAGGTGTACGCCAAGGAACCGGAAGCTGCTCACTCTCTCCACAGCAGCGCCGTTGATGGTGATGGGGGTGTGTACTTCTCTGCACCTCCGGAAGTCCACTATCAACTCCTTTGTCTTTGCGACGTTGAGGGTGAGATGGTTGTCTTGACACCAGTGGGTCAGGGCGCTGACCTCCTCCCTGAGAACCCCAGTAGTTGTATTGCGGAGTCCGGTACCTTGTCCGATAGCCAGGTTTCTGTGAGGCAGATCACACAGCAGTCCCGCATCTCTCGCTGGAATGAGATCCGTGCCCGAAGCTCGCACAGCTTGTTCTCCAGAGACTGCACATTAGCCAGTAATAAACTGGGTAACGGTGGTCTGTTAGTGCGCCGTCTCAGTCGAACCAGAACGCCAGATCTTCTCCCTCTGCGTCGGCGTTTGCGGCCTCCAGGGCCAGAGAACAAAGGCGTCTCAGGTGAGATGAATGGGGGGTCTGCAAACGGAGCGTCCGTGTTGCAAAACTTAGTTATAAGAAAGACCGTCTTTTATGTCTAGTAAGGTTTGTCGGTCGTACACAAGGAGACAAGTGCTGCTCGTGAAAAAATAACGGAAAAGTAAAATTAATAATATTTATTGGTAGCAGTAATTAGTTTAAAGTACATGTGAAGTGTTTTGTATGTTTCTTGGTTTCTTTTTAGTTGTTTTGAATGGAAAAAATGAAATAAACGTATTTCTCTAAACCTTTAAGCTATATAATAACAATTAAGCTATTTCAGTCTTATAAATGGATGCCTTTTAAAGGACAGAGAAGCACACCAGCTTGTGACTTCAGTGATGCAGATGTGACTGTCTCTATCTTTCAGGCAAGATTAAAAAAAAACCCATTCTGGGCACATTGTGAGCCAAGCTGATCTCTGTATACTGTATTTGACTAACTGACCTGCCAGCTGTTTGAATGCCTTGCCATGAATGTAATGTGAGTAACTATGAACATTTATCAGATCCCAATTTATCTTTATTTCTACTTGCAGCCTTTAGTTTAAGATGACCTAAAAAGTGTAAATTTCAGAAACGTCCTCTTAGCTTAACCTTTTATTAACAGCAGAACAGCCGTACGTATTAGAGATTGTCAGAGTAGTACAGACTTTTACTGCAGTAGCTGATGATACGTTTCAAGTATGGATTGGAAAAAAATGTACAAATGTTAATAATGTCACTTTCAACGACAACAGCAGAAAAGCCAGTAAGTATTGAAAATTACAAACTGTTAGATCTAAAAGGAATGCATTTCAAATTAACATAAAAAGCCACAAAATTCATTGAAAATTCCTTACTTCGGGAAGAGAGACCTTACTGCTGGCTAAGTATGTGTGGTATTACCTTCATTTTGTAGAGACACACTGCATTTGTCTGCATGTCTTCACTGATTTGTGCTCCATGTGTGAAGGAGCAGGAGAAGCTGTTGGCCCAAAAAAAAGTACCAGTGCTACAGAGTCAGCTGGAGGAATACAAGAGTGCCCTCTGCCAGCTGCAGGCCCAGAAACAGCGACTACAGACTGAGGTGGGTCACCATGACAACAGGAGGTTTCGCCTTAATTACATCATGCTTTTTCTTTTTTCTTTTATTTCCTTTGCTCTTTTTTTTTTATTGCCAAGCTGATATTTATAGAAGCACACAAAAGGATTTCTCAAAGGAGCCAAGAGTGTTTTTATTAGAGGAAAACTATATTCCACAAAGACCAGTCCAAACTCCCAGTGGCTGCTGTAACTAAGCTCACTTTTAGAGTTAACTGATGATTCATTTGGTCTAATTCTGCAAACATTATTCAGTTGCAAAATACACATCTGAAAGACTACAATATCACACTGCTCATTATTTGATTTTTCTCAGACCAAAATTCCAAAATCAGAATTTATTCTGATATCTTTGCACATTTGAAAAGCTGCATTTTGTGTGCTTTTGTGCTGCGTATGTATTTCCTTGTCTAATTAATCAATCCTTTCCATTCTAATGCATAGAGTGGGCTGTTATACAATTTATTTACAATAGTTTGCATTTTTCAGTATATATATATCAATCCACTGTTCTATAAATTGTGTTTCAGTCTTTTTTTTTCTACACTTGGATCTGTAAGATATCCATATCAGTGGACATCCTTAGATATACATACAACTCTCGCTCTAAGTGCAAAATCCTGGACTGAGAAATAAGGATCCTTTAAAGCTATTCTAGTAAAATTCAAAAGTTGAAACACGAAGCTTGAAATGGAGGTTACAGGTTCCCTTTAAATAGGTTTTCACCTAACAGCGCCATTATGTCACAGCAAAAGATGCCGCAAATGTGCCAGTAGGTGTCAGCAACGGCCCTGCTATGGAAGATTAATAAGCTAAAAGGTAGAGTTTTGTCAAAGTAGTGTGTCCTTTCATGAAAGAGAAACACAGCAGTGCTTTATTTCAATAGCACAGATAACTCAAAAATAAATATATTGTCTGCACTGATTTCAAAGCACGTTCTTTCATCTGGCTGCGTTGCTTTTGATATAAAACCTCTGCTATATGCACAAATAACAATCTTCAGTCAGCTTTCGTTATGCACTTTACATACCTGTCTATTTGATCCTGCAGGTATAATAAAGATGCATACAGTGGCATTTAGTTCATTCTCAATATTTCTTAGACACATTGCATTACCGCTAATAACGTGAATTTCTCCTTGAAATCACCCTTGTCTATTCTTCTCTGCCTCTTTCTATTCTATCAGAGTACAATGTTGGAGCAAGCCATCAAAAACACCCAGGAGAGCTATGACGATGAGATCCAAATGTACAATGAGAAAATCGAATCTCTGCGGAAAGAGATTGAGGAAACTGAGAGGTCCTTGGAGAAGTACACCAACGAATGTCGCCACCTGGCAATGTATCAGACATCCCTTGAGAATGAGCTGGAGAGGTACAAGAGGATCATTGAGAATGAAGATAACAGGTAAGCTAACACCACTTTGCTTCTATTACACCTAAAGACACACTCGCACACACCTGAATGAGAACATTAGTTGCTCACTTCACTGAGTGATCACTAACAAGAATGTCACATACTGCTGGTGCCCAGTAAATCTGATACAGAGCAATAAATTCATTTAAATGAACAAATTATCACATGGCTAAAAAGGTTTAATCACACAGTCAGCGTGAGCATAGTCTTGCAGCTGCTAAAATAAATGTAATTTAAAAATAATAATAATAAATTTTAAAAAATAAATTAATTTTCTGAGATCAGCATAGATTCAGGCAGTGCACACTTCTGTAAATATGATCTCTCTTAGGACCCTACAATAATAGAGAGAAACAATCAGAGAGCCCTCTATGAGAAAGCCTTTGGCAATGGAGCTGTTTTTATTAACAGGCTGAGAAGTGATGGGAAAAAGAAAAGAAAAAATAGAACACGTTCAAAACAAGACAAATTTGATGTACCTCTTGCAAAATATCCTTTTAATTGTGTGTAAAAACTTCAAAATGTAAAACATTAATACTGTCATGGGTAATTTGTAATTGGACAAGTATTTTTATGTATCACCTTTGTGGCTTTTTTGACACTTAAAGCCAAAACTGCCAGCATAACTTCCAGGGTCACTTTCTTGAAAGACCTTTGGTCACTTGGCCTAAGGCGTCAATGGAGGTTAGATTTGCTCCTTGTGACACTCAGTAGATTTATTTTCTCTGCACAATCCACCAACAGATGGCACCGTGTGACAACAAATGTGTCCTTCCTTACCAGCTCAAGGCTTTTTGTTTTCATGTAAGATTGCCTATATTTAGGTCATTTTATGTGTTATGTGTTATTTCATACTTTGAATCATATGAATGATCAGGTTCCCCTGCACAGGAAAACTGTTCAGAACATCACCGTGTAACAATTTACTGCTCCCTTTACTGTAGGTTGAATTCAGCAATAATTGGCACTCCCATTACCCTGCTTACCCCTAATTACCGCTACACTCCCAGATCTACTGCATCAAGCAGAGGGAGAGGTAAGATCACCAAGAACATAAAACATAAAACAGCTAGTTTCAGTCGCAGTCGTTATAGTTGAGACACCAACATGTGTCCTTAAAGATTATGTCTAACAAAAGCAATTTCCTTATAATATTTAGAATGTACAAAGATTTAATAGTGCTGGTGTATACATTTTTAAATTTTATTTATTTATATCTAGTTGACCTAAACCTCATTTGTGTCTAGATATCACACAGGCTATTCAGGAGATCACCAGTATCAAGCCACGACAGAAGATAATGGTTAAGAAGGGCCTGAAGAAGAAGGATCTGACCCCAAAAGATGTGATGGATAGTGGCCAGGAGGAAGAAAACAGAGACAGTGGAGAGGGTCCAAATGAAGAAACGAAGGGGGTCAAGTCTGAGGAGGTGCAAGAGGAGGGGGTGAAGAGAGAAGAGCAGAGACCTGCTTTCGGTGGAGTGTCTCCACAGGATGTTCCAGATGGAGCTCAGATTAGCAAAGCCTTTGACACTCTCTGTAACATTGTCAGAGAAAGAATGAGGAAATACAAGAAGCCTGAACCAATCGCTGATTTCTACACCAAGGGTCGTTATGTGCTTGTCACCGGTGACGGAAGCTACCTAGATCCCTGCTTCTACACCTCCACACCATCAGCTGGCCACATCTTTGTTACTATCAGAGATGGAATGATGGCTCCCTATGAACCTTATGGGCGTGACACACCATCCCCTCCACCTCCTCAACCCATGATAGATCCTAGGCCTCTCAGTCCAACCGTGCCCACCTCTGGAGGAGAAGGAAAGGAGGATAAAAAGGGTGGAATACAAAAGGATAATGGAGAAAAAGGTAAAAACAACAATAGAGAGCCTCAACCTCACTCAAAGGAGCCAAGACCAGTATCTCCACCCTCTGGCCCAAGCTCTGGCCCCAAAGATCCCACCCCAGGTGCTAAACATCCCAAGAAAACTAGGGATGACAACGGCCCAAGCGGGCCCACTCCAAAGCCTGCACCTCGTGGTGCCAGCACCAGCTCCAGTTCAAGTTCCAGCACTAGCACCAGCACCAGCTCGACTAGCTTTACTCCAGATGCCATGACTTACGAGAAGGTGGAGGTTGTGGAGTCTGTGGAAAAGTTCTCCAATGGCCGCAAGATGAAAGGTTATGAGGAAACTTCCGTGGTGGTGGAGACCATGATTGAGAAGTCCAGCAAGAAGAAACACTGAAACCATGTCACCTGACATAAAGGGTCAGAAAACCAGGACCCTACATGAGACAGGTTCTCTAGCTGGAAGATAATATTGATACACTCGGACTTCATAACCACCACTGTTTCTAAAACTACTGTTTTAACTCTAATGTTCTTGTCTCTTAGGGAGACCATCCACACATAAAGAGCAACTAGACATTCCTGCTTTGATAAACATTGCTCTTCCATTTGCTTGCAGTCTCTGGTCTTGCGTCCAGAATATGTTTTGCTGGTTCCATAAGTACTGCTGTTGTTGTTCGAGATATTCACCCATACTCATGCTGAGTCCTTTACTGTCTGAAAACTTGGAACAATGAAAAAAACAAAGCGCCACCTATAAAAAGAGAGAAAAAACACAAAAAACTGAAAACAAAAAGCTGGGCCACCCTTTTTGAACTATGTCTTAGAACTCTGACCTTCCCCTTTTTAGCTCAATTGTTCAATTGGATGCCACTGCCTGCCCTCAGCACAATTTTGCTGTGTATTAATTTGCTTTGATATATTTAATAATAAAAAAGACCCAAACATCAATTGATACATTGTTGTGTTTGCCTTCACATAACCAACATGTAGCAAGCACCTTATACGTTCTATTAATATATGATAAAAGTCTTTTTTACTGGACATTGTAGGTGCCTTTGAACATTTACAAATGGCTTAGAAGGTCTCACTGCAAAGGCTGCAGCAAAAAGAATAATAGGATTTTTTTAATGTGACCTTACCTTGTTCATAATGTAAGACAATTGTAGGAGACAAATATGATACAGAGTATGTAAAACACTTCAGAGAAGATTTCTAAGATGTATTTGAACAGATTAGTCTGAAATCTCACTTTATAAAAATGTATATATTACTTGGATTACTGCTATTAATTGTGCTAACTTATTTGAGTAAGATTGAATAATGGCTGAGATAATTAAAAGTCTCCATGCTAGTAATGGTCTTTTTCCACATTCTCTCCTCATACATGAACACTGATTTAAATTTCTGCCCAACAGAGGAAGTGGAAGTAAGCTGTAAAAGCAATTTACTGACATTAGATTTTAAGAGCAACAGTTGCTTACTTACATACCGAACTGCACACTGAAATTAGCACAGGCATTAGCATTCATTTTGGATTATGAGGTAGCCTGATGAATGCATATCTGATATTCACATTGCTTTTAGTTCGGGTTGCATCTGGGTAGCTAGTTCAGACAATTGCTAACTTTCTGCTCTTTGCTGCTGCTCGTTTTTCATCCTGAAAGAGTTTGTTTTGTAGGAAAGTAAGTGTTTTAGCTCTCTTTAGACGATCCTTATTTACATCCTAAAACATATGTCCAGAAAACACTTTATTTACTGAGTGAAGCCTCTTTGTTTTAAATATTTACAGTCAATAGGCTGTAAATAATTTATATGACAGTGATTTATTGGTGCTACATTTTGCTTCTATAAATAAAGGAAGTGTCTATAGTACCTAGGCAAGGAGCCTTTTAGGGGGGTTATTCTGTTTATTGAACAGCACAATACAGAATGAAAGAAGCCTGGGAAAGATTAGACGATTTCACTTGTTGATGTGTTTTACAGTAGGGTGACTGCTATCCCACGGTGATCCTGCCTGTGCTCCAGTTTTAGTGGAGCACAGGCAGCATCATGTAACCGAGAATGGCTGGTTTTCTACATGCATTCACTGTATTTCAAATCACTCAAGTGCTTTAATAAACAGCTGAATAGATTTATTATAGTCCATCAAAGATTATGAAATATGAACTGATGACTACAGGCTGCAAAATGAATTACACATTCTTTCCATGTTTATATAAACAGTGCATGTCACAAAAATATAAACAGAAAGAAATAGCACTGCTCTGTTTGCAAGATATTAAACTTTAAGTAGAATGGCACAGAAAATCATTTACAGTCACAAACTGTACAACATTTGGCAGAAGAGAGGTGTAGGGCAGTTAAAGCAAGAGCATGAAAGAGTGGCTTGTGTTTGCTTTATGTACAGTTCTGTAGAGTGTAAAAACCCAAGTGATATAGTTTGTTTTCTCTCTATAGAATAGATTATTCAAGGTTACACTTTTATCATGACTGGATTACAAGAAACATTCATCGAAGGGGCTAATTTTAACATCTGATAACAAAAATCAGAGACAGGAGAGGAACGGAGGTAGACCAAAGGGAGGATAACAAGGGACTTAGGAGAACTTAAGAGATGCAGTGAAATTTTAGAGAAGGACAGAGCGAGACTGCAGAAGGAAGATAGGTGATAGGTGAGCTGGCAACATGCAGATGGGATTCTAGTTGTTTTTACTGAGCAAACTCTTCAGACTTCTCTCTACAGCCTCATCCAGCTCCTCCTCCAGCTCCTCCTTTTTGGACATGGCCAGTTTGGACTGATAATCACGTACTATCTGGTCTATATAAGGGGCACTTTGTGTTCCGTGCAGCATGAGAGTCCACTCCTTCAGGACCCCTCGCTGTGGCTCGTCACCCTGAAAGCCCACCTCAAGGACCCAGGTCCCACGGGGGTCCTCTCCCCAGGTATGCGTGGTCATGAAGGGCCACTTGTCAAAGCCCACCTTGGAGTCATCATCACGGGGCCTTCGGCTCAACAGTATGGATTTTGTGCCCATTGGTGAGGTCATGTTGATGTTGAGGTCACCACGGCGGCTGGCATTGACAGTGACTACAGTCTGAACATGCTCCAGGTAGCGGACAAAGTTGTCCTTTCCCTGACAGGCTTCAGTGGTTATGGCCAGCACCAGCTTGTTACCAGACTGGATTTTACTGGGGAAGAAGAATCAGATTGGAGAAATGAAAACTACATGTTAGAGAAACATAGCAAAGTAACATAACAGCTATGAAAGAGAATGATGAAACAAGACCATGTAGTATGTGTAGTAAGTATTATATGGCCCTGGACAATGGCACTGGGAATCCCTGAATGTAATCGTGAGAGAACAGGTGAAAGAACCGCTACCTTTTACCTGCTCTTATTTTAATGTTCCAGTAAATACAGCACCTGACCTATTTTTTCAATAGAACCAGCCAACCCTGGCAAAAAAAGGAAGCGCCTTTTTTTCTTGTTCCCTCATTGCACAAAAGCATTCATGACTGTCATGTCTGATTAATTTACTCTGTACTTTTTTTGTTGCAGTGAGAATAATATGCTCTTTGGTCAACACTAAAAGACCACATACTTGATATTCTAGAAGTAACCAGTTTGCAATGAGTCTAAAGCTTGTTTTCCAAAATTTAGAGCACAGATGTCATAATTTCTTCTTACTCAGTAATTTCACAGGTGTTCCCTATTTGCTAAATTGACTGGTAGTTGCATAGCACCTTTTTACTACAAGTCTCACACAGTGCTTTTATTCTAATAGACGTCTATTATTGCATATGATCAAAATTTCTACTGATTTCTAGGCTCATCATGAGATTTGCTGTTTGCTATGATAGCTGGTTTCTCAAGTGTTGTCGCTTTTTGGTTGGTAAGACATACTTTTATAATTCCCTGGGTGATGGGAAGAAAGAGTGGGAACACAGCAGGGTAGGGGTGGTGGCCAAAGGCTGTGAAGAGGCTTAATAACATTATTAGAGGCTAAGGCCACATCACAGCAGTGGGAAATGGGCCTGGTTTAGGGGGTGAAGAGAGGGAAGCAGAGAAGAAACACAGAAACTGAGAGAGAGAGACGCATGGAACAGCATTCAGTTTGAAAAATGATTAATAGGGCGCTATGCAGAGCACAGCGAGGTGAGTGCAGTGGTGAGCTGATTAAGTAAATTGCTATTCCCAGAAAAACAGAACAGCTCGTAGCGCAGTACTGCACAACAAGTTACACCCTGTGATAAGAAATTTGACATAGCCAAATATAAGAGCTTTGTTTTTTCTCCATCAACATTAGAAGTGTTATATGTAAAAAGCCCATACTGTAAAGAAGAAACACTTCTTTAAAAATATGTAGTTAATGTCTGGATGTACTACAACAGCTTTTCTTGGCATCTTCATTTTTAAAAGCATTATTCTTGGGGAGTTAACTCGTGATTTATTTTTTTATTACAGCGTGTGCATATGAACCTAAAAAGGGGATCTTGTATGCAGCAGCTGCATTGTGCCTATCAGTTAACATGCAAGAATAATTACAGCAGTCGGCCGTGGAGCAGGGACAGAGATGCCTCTGAAGGGCAGGACCAGTGGAGATTAAAAACAAACCTGCCACACAGCGTGGCACTGTGTGCCAGCTCCACTGATAATGAGAAGTTCTCCTCCAGCAAAGTAAGCTGCAGCGAGCCCGAGCAGCTATCAGATCAGTGCTGAGAGTGTGTTTGCTAGAATGGCGATGTTAGTGTTTATTGCTTTTCTCCGCTGATACAATATCATCAGAGGTGGGCTTGTTGTAATTATAGCTCTACCACAATAGAGGCAGCAAAAACCCTGCAGTGCTGCTTTGGAAACAGTGAACTGATGAAAAATATGGCACAGCCAGTATAGCTTTCAATACACCACTCAAAAGAAGAGAGAGGTTTCTTTTGGAGCTTCTTACCTATGAACATCACCCGCTACTCATTTTTCCCTGAGATATGAAAACCTTTTTCATCTCTGTGTAAAAAATAGGTTATTTTTTGTTTGGGGGTTTTGTTTTGTTTTTTGCACTGGAAGCTTAAATATCCAGATAATAATGGCAGTGTAAAGTCACCAGCACTCTGTATAAGAGAGCAGGTTCTTTCCACCATTTGCATGTGGTCTCTCCAGGGATGCAATAAAAGCTGTACCATGCTCTTTTTTTTTTATCTGTCACTGAACTCAGGGGAGGGACACACAGACACACACAAGCACACAAAGGAACATTTTCACACCATGTTGTCGTGACTGAATCGTCTGTGAAGCTCTGATTAGAGACCGAAATAAGGTACTGTGGGTGTTGATGGTGGAAGAAAATACAAAGACGGACTGCATTCACTCAGCTTTTTATCTTCACCCACACACTGACACTTTCACAATACATGTTAAAGCATTACTTTAGGTCACACACATCTACACAAATGTACACCTCCGCCAGGATTGATGGCATTTCCAGGGAACTCCAAGCCTACTTGTGTTGCTCTAATTAGAGCAAATAAGAGGGATGGAGGAAACCACCAGGCATCGCACACTTAAGCTCAAAGCCTTACGATATGACAGATGAATGGATACCAGAACCCTTGTGACTGGTGCAGTGGTGGGGACAGGGGAATCAGAGGAAGGAATTAAGACAGAGATGGAGATTGGAAGCACAGTGAAGTGAAAGCAAGGCTGTAGATGGACAAAATACAGGGAAAGGTAATGTACTAATGTAGTGAGGATAAGACGAGAGGGAGGACGCATTAACTACAGCTGCATCTGTGAAATATGAGGGCAGAGACTGAAGCTGCCAGAGCTCGAACTGATGTAGTTAACATTATTTCATGTGAGAAATGCATCATGCTTAGAATGATATAGTCATTTTAAAGGAATCCCATCCAAAAAACTATATTGCCTCCTTCCCGCCAACTCCT